GTAAGCAAGTAAATTGAGGTGAAACTAGGCATGTGCAAGACCAATCATATTCCTGAAATGGCTACAGCCATCTGAAAAAGTTGATAGCAACCTGGTTTATATCAGTGGTTCTTAAACTTTTTAGCTGATGGACCATCTGGCGCAATGTAAACCTTTCCACGGACCACCAATTGCTAATTGAAACTCACCGTTAATTACATAATTACACCTGAGCCATTTTGCTAGTGCTGCAGCTAGGGAGACTGGTTTAATTTAATTTAAATTATTAAATATGAGGGGTTCAGTGTGTGGGACAGGGATGCCAGTGATTGGGGTAGAGTGTGGTGCAGAAACAGGCTGGGAGTAAGGAATCTGGCCAGGAGGGAGGGTACAGGAGAAGACTGGGGGTAGGGTGTCTGGCCGGGGGCAAGGAGTGCCTGATGCTAAAGTTGAGGAGCAGAGTGGCTGAAGGGGTTCAGAAAGATGGGGGGGGGAGACACAGTGCACACAGTGCCCCTAGAAATAGGGTGGGGGTCATGGTGGCTCGGAGGGCAGGGTTTAGGGGAAGGGAGGCTGGGCACAACTCAGCAAGGAGGGGGTGAGCAGGTAGATGACCCCCGGCTGTCCAGCCCTGCAGGAGATGGGGTCCCACAGGGGTCCAATCCATGGTGCCTTTGGGGCCTCCCAGACTGAGTCCCCATGGGTGCAAAGTCCCAAAGGGCCCCGAGTCCTCACCTTCTTCCTGCATGTGCAGGATCCTCAGCCTCCGCATCGCCTCCTCTCACCGCTGCCGGGCACGGCACAGCCCAACCTGCTGCCAGGAAAGGAGGGGCAGTGCTGGCCGCTTATGTACCACGAAAGTCCGCCCCACGTGGCTGAGACTCATGCAGCCCAACCTGCTGCCTGCCCCACAAGACCAACCGAGGGACATGCTGCTCCTTCACATGTAGCCCCGTGGCCCGTGCGAGCAGGGAGAGGTGAATTTGATTTCTTTACTTCCCCACATGTCACCCGGAGCTGACACTGGAGCTGACCACAAGGCTGCAGCTGCAGCACAGGGTCCCCGCTTTATGGTGGCGGGGAGGGAGTGAGGTCCTGCAGTGGACCACATGCGAGGTGTCCGCGGACCACTGGTTTAGATAAACCTGCTTATTGCTGTTTTGTGTTCGCTCAGGTATGTCAAACTAACTTAATTTTAACAAGGTGAGAAGCATCATATGTTCTCTCCTTTCAGCCTCATCCTTTTTAGTCTTTAGTACATTTTTAAATCCAGATTTAAAGTTAACTTATCCAGTCCATTTGGAGTACTTCATAATAAACTGAAAACCATACTAATACTCTATTGTTGGGAAAGTAAGGCCCAATATTGCATTCAGGGTTAAAGTAGAAAATGTTTTCAGCTGTTAGAACAGTAAAGAGTAACATTATTCCCATAGGTGAAGAAATCTTTTATTTCAGTAGTATTAGACTGATATATACATTCACAGAGGTGGAAGACCCAGCCTTTGTTTTATGGTTACAGTATTTCTTTTTTTTAAAGTAAAGGTATTTAAGAGAGAAGGGTTAGTTTTCTGGATATTTACTCAGGAGAAAATAGAGAAAGAGTAAAAAGAAAAAAAAAAAAAAGTGCTACCGTTGAATTCTCAATCTGGGAAAGAAGTAAGAAAGTAATTTGTGCTTCAAACGAACAAAACCTGAATAAAACTTAACATTCTTTCATGTGCATTCAAGTGACAGATTATATTTGATAGCTGTCCTAACATAGATTCAGAATATGTAAACTAGACAAATAACAAATATGTGTAGAACTGAAAAAAAGTTGCAAAAATGTTTTAATCTTCCCTACTCTACCATTTTCCTCAAACTTAGGTTCAGATAGCAATGTTATGAGTGGACAAGTTAAGAGAGGTTGAGAACTAGTGCCTTAGTTTACAGTACACTTGTTCATCTTTCTCATTTGGTTCCTGTTTCTCCTCTGATGACACTAAAGTAAAGATATCTTCTTGCATCTGCATGATGACTGCCAACTCTGGTATTTTGTTCTACCTATAAGTAATAAGCTGCCTGCCGCTCTTGAAGTTTGAATTCTGCTGAGAGTGTCTCTTCATACGTGTAAGTGGAATGTTAGCAATGCAATCCTACATCTATTGATGAAAAGTAGTCTCTTAAAGTGGAGTGCTGTATGCACTTACAATTATACAAAAAAGCACTCTGCATTTGAAAACTGAAAAAACGAGTTTGTTTTTCATGGCGATGAACAAGACATTCTCTTAACATACTCCTAGTTAGGGTTGCCAGGTGTCCAGTATTGACTTGGACAATCTGGTATTTTTGCCTCCTGTCTGATTAAAAAAAAATGCAGAAAATACTGGACGCCTAAAATGTCCGGTATTTTCTGATTTTTTCCAGGACAGGAGGTGAAAATCCTGGGTGCTTAGTGGGTTCCACAGGGGAGCTGTCTTTGGTCTCCCCCTTTTTTTTTCCCTCAACAGAATTTTTTCCCCAGCAGGGTTTTTTTTTCGGGGGGGGGGGCATAATTCGGTGTTTTTGGTTAAACCATCTGGCAACCCTATGGAAGAATGGCTCATGCCTTTGAGTAGCAAATGTTCTTCCCTGGGTCTTAGTGCTCAACCCCTCCTCTTCCTCCTGACTCTGCACGCACTTAAAGGGGCCTTGTTTTGTTTTTGTTTTGTTTGTTTGCTTGCTTAATAACTCTTGGGGTCCCCCCTTTTTTTTGGCTCAACTTTGGTGGTCTCCTTTTTTCCCCTCAACAGAATTTTTTCCCCAGTGGGCTTTTTGGGGGGGAGGAGGGGCATTCAGTATTTTTGTTTAAACCTTATGTTTAAACCATTGTAGTTATTTCTTGATTACGTAAATAAAAACTTTCATAAATTATTAGCTGTTCCTTTTTCACTGGAAAAAAAAAGAAAAGTAAAAATTAACTCCACCTCATGAGGTAGCAATTTATAGAAAATTATTTTGAATTGTTCAGCCACTCATGTGATTAGACTTCTTTGCAGAGCATGAACTACTTGACGATTTGGAAAAATGTATTAGAGCTGTACACATGTGTAGCCTAGGTGACAAAGTATAGGCTGTTAACATGAGACTTAACTGCTTTTTCTGTTCTTTTTTGCTACTTCTAAGTCTTATCCAACCAGTTGCTCTTGAGGTAGACTACTCTGAAACTTGTGTTTTGATTAAGCATTGAAAGTGTTCCATCAGTTGCATCCTCCGTCTTTGAAACACTTAGCAACAAGTTAACTTTAATCTATAGAGCGTAAGGTAGGGGGCATTGCCTTCTACTTCTTCCTTAATGCTGTGTGTGAGGGGAGGAGGAGGAGGATGTTAAAAAGCATGTATTGGATAACCAAGTAACCGCTGCTGCCTCTCATACAGAAGCAGCAGCGCAGGGCTGCATTCAGCTTCCCCAGGAGCCGATGCACACTTACAGCTCTGCTTCCGAGGAACTGGCTGCTGTCTCTGATACAAAGCCAACAGCGTGAGGTGTCAGTTGGCTCCCGAGGAGCAGGGCAGGAGCTTGCATGTAACCATTAACGGTAACCAATAAGCCCAGGCTTATCGGTTAATCATTTATTCGATTATACTTTCACATCCCTTGTGTGGGCGGCAGGGGTTTGAGTATGAAATTAAGTTGTCTTTGTATAACCAATTTGATACATTTCACCTCTGTTCAATGTAGACATAGGGGACAGTCAGTGACTACAGAATTGGAAGAGCAACTAGTTGGATTTTATCTAAGCTTTTAAATTGCTTGAGGGAGGGAGGGAGGAAGTCATTTAAATATACAGTAAAAGTTATTTGGCACACTTCAAAAATATTTATCTATTTGTTCTTTTCACTTTCTATCTCTTTTCAAACTTGTCTATTTGTGGCTGAGAATTGTAAGAATTTGTACTGTACTAAAAACATGATTGAAATATATAATGAATATATAAATTGAAGATATGGAAATAGTGCATAAGCACAATGCTGCAGTAGAACCTGGCTAACTTTTACAAATCCACAAATATGGTTCCTCTCACACAAGAAAAATCTCTTATTTGCAGCAAAGATAGCAGAGTTCCAGAATTAAGTCTCAGGGTAGCAAGATATGCAAATAATTTCACAAACTGTATCTGTATTCCTACTTGTATTTAGGAAAGTACTTGTGTAAAATTAAATTATAATGCTTCAAATACTAAAATACATTTTATGTTGGTGAATTATGAAGCTAAATAAAATCAGACTACTTTTTTTAAGTACAAGTTAGCAAAATTCTAGTATAATTACAGTAAATTCCATTTCTTGTATTTGATCCCAGTAAAGCTGCAGGCATTACATATTGATGGTCATCAGAAAAAAAGTCAGTGTTGTATAAGCCAAGGAACAATGCTTTAAGTGCATCTTCACAATTAGGTGAAATGTACATGCTCAGAGAGGATGTGCTTTACTTCTTACCCTTTGAAACTAAAATATATGGAGAAGTCTTCTAGAGTTTTGTTTGTATGTGCAACTTGGTTTATATACAAATATTTCTCTTCAACACTATGCATTCTTTAAAATATTATTTTGTTCACCTTAAAAGCTATTGCTTTTAATTTCATCTAGTTTCTTGAAACTGTAAACAGTGTCTGGAACAGACAATAATGACAGATCCTGTGCAACATAGAACCAATTAAAGATTATCATTAGAAGCATTGCTTATGCAATTGATATATCTTTGTCTGAAGGAGATCAATCATTTTATTCTTTTCTGCATTAATAGCATCCTGGATGATAGCAGGTACTTATGTAGATAACTGATTCCCAGTTGCCTCAGTGGATTATATTGGTCAGATCCTTAAAGCACATAGGAAAGGAGTGAAGTCCCTGTTCCAGCAGCTGGTTGTCTGTCTGCTAGAGTCACAAGAAGCAAGCTGAATTAGAGGTCTACCCACGGGGCTGTAATCAGCAGCCTGTGACAGTACTGAGAGAGAGGAAAATGAATTTAACACGCTCCTTGCCTCAATTTTTTTCAGATACTGGCCAGAAGAAGAACCCAGACAAGAAAGATGGGAGACGAATGTCTTTTCAGAAGCCTAAAGGGACTATTGAATATACAGTAAGTTACTGCTTGGCTGTTTAAATATTCCTTTTGCATAGAAATGTGCAGAGTCTTGAGGTTTCTGATATATAATACAAACAAAATAGCTTTGCTAATTACCTTTGTTTTCTTCAGTCCACACTTCTGATAATAGGGAACCTTGTTAGGAATTAAATAGCTAGCACTCCTAAGGTTTTCCAGGAGGTATGTTAAACATGCTGCAAAAGTGAAACTTTAGTTTTCCATACAGATTAAATTAATAGTTGAACAAATGTCAGTCAAAAGTATCTCTTGAAGGCTAATTATTCAGTAACTTACAGTAAATTACTTGAACTATAAAATCACTTATGTCTAAAGCTTTCAGCATCATTAACAATTCACTGAATAGAGAGAAATAATAAACATAAGATTACGTCTGTCTTGGTGATATCTTCCCAGCATTCTCCTACTAATTTCCATTGATCTGTACCTAAGGGAGGTATATTCTATTTTCCCAGCAGTATCTGAAAATGGAGCCTTTCTTTGACTGTTATGTTCTTGAAATGACCCTCAAACTGTGCTGCAGTCAGTTTTTCACGTTTCTGGTTACTAGGGGAAACTGAAGTGAGAAATATCTGTCTTGTGTTGTGTATTAAGCTCTCTAATCACTTCATATACATTTTCAGTTAATATGTTGAAAGTCAGACACATATTTCATGGAATTAGTTATGAAGCTTTGTGATTAAATACATATATTTCTTTTATAAGAAACTGGTAAATAATAAGATATAAAGAGGACCAATAAAGAAAATTATGGCTTTATATAGAAGTAAACTTTGTCACTTTTTCCTTATCTGCTAATATGGATAACCTTATCTTGAAATATTTTGGGAGGAGTGGGATGGAAGTTCTTGAGATTAGTTCCAGGCTAACTTTTAGTCTGGTTTACACAGAAAACAAAACTACTTCTCTCACTGCTTTATTAATGAATCTTTATTGCAATATAAATTTAATGTCTCGTATTTTGAATTTTTCAACATGCAACACAGAACAGTTTTCCTTTTCTTTGAATATACATACAATTTCATAGAAATTATGCTTCCTTCCTAATTATATCAGTGAAATACAGTAATTGAAAAAGATTACCAGATATAACTTGTAGCCCTAAGGTATCACTCAGCTGTCATTCTTGTTCAGTTAATAAAATCCTTCCAAGGCTGCATAAAGCCTCTTGTCACTTTACCAAGGTGGATTGATTTAAATCAAAGTGATTAAAACCACCAAGAAAATAATCATTGCTTTGTAAATCAAGTTTCCCACTATTGCTTGCTCATGTATTTCTTAAACAGTGGTGCAAATCTGATCACTAGAACGTGTTAATTTACAGCTCAATACAGCATTTTACAACATCTAAGAGGCATACATTGTGTAATTTTTTTAGATAACTTGATTTTCATTGATTTAGGAAATACCACATAATAAACATTACGTGTGTCAAGCTGCATATGCAGCAGCGGTATGTTAGGAATAGTAAGATCTAAATCACACATACAAACACAATCATACTTACTTAAGATTTAGTTTAATAAAATATATTACGTGAATGTTTCTCATTTGCAATTGCAGCAGTCTCCTGAGTGGCTAGATGATGGCTATCCTCAAACTTTTGTTTTAATTTTCAAATTTTATTAGTTCTAACAGACGAGTCCTCAGAACATTAAATGTACAGTGGCCTTAACATTTCTACAACTAGCTCTCATCTTCCTCACTACCCGCTATTGTTTAGGTCATGGACTGAAACAGAAATAAGAGTTTTCCTGCTTTTTCAACTCCCAGTCCATTTCTTAGCTTTCGGTGAATAATACCAAACAATGAAAATATTCTCTCTGTGCTTGCAGAGGAAGCTACTGCTGTGAAAAGTTGGCTTAGCAACTAAGGAACTCTGTTTCAAAGTGCCTGGCTAATGATTTCCACCAATTTAGGGGAGTGACTTTGTTCAAAACATCAGTAAACCTGATGTACTGATGAAATGGTTTCACTCAATTACTGGAATTTATTATGACTGGAATAACTGAGAAGTGATTTAGAGTAGGGATGTAATAGTATAGTCGATTAACTTAAGCATCTACCCTTATATCTGGGGTTTAGAATGTTTGCAAGAAAATGAAGTGGAGTTAGTGTTTGATCCATTTGCTTCTTTATTGCCCATAGTTTAACTTTCTGGTGAGGTACTTCTTTTGTCAGTGTCTCTTGAAGTGCCTCCCAAATTTCGACAGCAGGAGCAGTGCAACAGCAATGTCTCTGAAGTTTATTTAAAGCTATAAACAATAGGTTTCAGTATACTGAGCACATCTTCTACATTCTTCTTTAATCCAGTGTTAGATACTTTGGATGAGATACTTCAGTTTATTTCATCACGGTTTCCTTCACTAAGGTTTGAGAATTGGCCAATTTTTAATAAAGTTTTCAAAACATTCAAACACAGACTCTAATCGATCATTTTGAGGAAGAATTAGTTTGGATCTTTCTGCTCTCTTCAGTGAAGCTGAAGCAAAATGGTTATTATGGCAGTATTTTGTATCTTCAACAGTTTCTTTTATTCCTGGAGGATAAAAGAGTCTGTGGATAAAAGCTTCATTAAATGGGCACTACAGCCACATAAGGAGCATTTTTCTGTTTTTCCTAAGTACAGGCAGTCCCCGAGTTACGCGGATCCGACTTATGTCGGATCCGCAGTTACGAACGGGGCCGTTCCTCTCCCTGGTCTCCAGCAGACCAGGGAGAGGAAGCAAAGCGGTGGAGCACGTGGGCAGCGGACAGGGCTGTCCGCTGCCCACGCGCTCCGAGGCTTGGCTCTGCTTTGCGCCCCCCCCCCCGGTCTGCAGACCAGGGGGACGGGGGGACGGGGGCAAAGCAGAGCCAAG